AGGAGAGCGACCACTTGCAACCGGTCAGCCTCAGTTGGTGTAACATACATGTGTCAAGATGGTTTTTTGCCGCTAGATAAGGCCGAGCGATTAAGTGACAAGGGGTAGGCGGTGTAAAGGGACATGGACAGGGGGAGAGTAAAGGGGCGAGGTAATGGGGAGGAAGAAAGCCAAAGAAGGGGATAAGGGTGGGCTTGGAGCATGCGCCAGTAGTACAGACACGTCACACCTTAGATAACAAGGTCCTTCTATTACCCTCTACTCCAGCCCTCCTCATCATAAACAAACAAAAACAAAAACTTTTATCATCTTAGATTACATATGTTTTCTACTGATGCTCTTTTAAATTTCTACTCTATTGCGTTGTATGATTTATGGGGTTTGAGGTAAGGATTAATAATTATCAAGATAGGTGTCAACCAAGGTCAAAGGCATACGTATTTTCATCACAGCTACGAAGTTTTCTTTTGTAGATCCAACAGATTTATTGTCTGTTACAATTGTCTTCCCCCCCTATGATCTGTGTGTCACAGATCTGTCTTAAGTATACCCGCCGATTGACTACAATTAAACACTGACATTTTACTTTCCTTTACGAAGCGTTCACTTTTTTTATTTCTTTTTACCGTTCACTTTATTCATTCCAGGGTTCATTCATTCACGCATTCACTTCAGCATTTACAGTCATTCATTACAGCGTTCACTCATCCGTTTACGCTTTCCTGTTTAAACGTGAGACTCATTTACTCACGGATGATAATCCTTATTGACCACAACACTCATGCCTTCGTTATGAGGATCACTCTGCGAGCCGCATCCGGCTCTCATACTGGCTGCTGTGATCTGTCTGTCGCCCATATTAATGTCAAACAACCCAGTATCAGTTTTGGTCAAGAGGTTAGGGCTGCTATAGACTGTGCCAGCAATGAAAGTCAGTCATCTCCTAACGCTAATGTTTTTTATACAAATATGTTGACACCTTGTGGATCACGCTTTTTAATAAGATCACCTGGAGAGGAAAGTAAGTCTCGGTTTAAATACTATTAACACACCTAGAAATTAGTCTTGGGACCTTGGAGTGACCAAGGTCGTCCCAGGACAGAAGCGAATCCAATAATGATGTCTTAGGTGTCGTTATACCTTCTACAGTCGTTTAACAGTGAACCTGCATGCCGGTGACACTTGTATGTGTGAACATATATTACAATGGTTCTTCGTGGCGTCACGTACACTCTCTTACTGTAGTTCATTTGTTACCCATAAGAACGTGAAGACTTAAGAACGGAAGGAACACTGCAGCAGTCTATGGCCCATGCTAGGGACACTTCAATTTCATAAGAACATAAGGAATACATAAGAACATAAGGAAAGGAGGAACACTGCAGCAGGCCTGTTGGCCCATACTAGGCAGGTCCTTTACAATTCATCCCACTAACAAACATTTGACCTACCCAATTTTCAATGCTACCCAAGAAATTAGCTCTGATGTGCAAGTCCCACTCAAATCAACCCCTCTCCACATCATGTATTTATCAAACCTAAATTTGAAAACTACCAAAGTCCTGCCTCAATAACCCAACTAGGTAGGACTGTTCACTCATCTACTATCCTTTTTCCAAACAATACTTTCCTATGTCCTTTCTAAATCTAAACTTATCTAATTTATATCCATTACTGCGGGTTCTTCTTGGAGAGATATTGCTCAAGACTTGTTAATATCCCCTTATTAATACTATTTCACTTATTACACTTCGATCAGGTCTCCCCTCTTCTTCGTCTACAAGTCGAATGTAAACTTAAGAGTCTCATTCTTTCTTCATAAGGAAGAATTTCTAATGCTATGTATTAATTTAGTCATACCTAAGCTGAAATGTTTTCTAACGAAATTTATGTCACATTCTGTAATATGGAGACCAGAATTGATCTGCTTAATCTAGGTGAGGCCTTCTATAATGATGTATAAAGCTGCAGTATGGACCTCTGGACTTCTGTTGCTTACACTTCTTGATATATATCCCAGTAATCTATTTGCCTTATTACGTCGCTTAGGCATTGCTGTCTTGGTTTAAGGTTGCTGCTTACCATAACCCCCAAGTCCTTTTAGCAAATCTGTAGGTTATGTTCTACATTATTTACTTATAAGTGATAGGGTTATGGACATCACGGAGCTTCAGATCCTTGCCTTTATCTACATGAACTGCATATGCCACTTTTCTGACCATGTGCTAGAGTTTGTTAAATCTCCTGGAAGTCCCTAACATTTACGTTTGAACATTTTTCCTACCTATCTTGTGTCATCGGCGAATCTTTGCTCATATCACTAGTAATTTCCTTCAATCAAGTAGCATTTGATTATATTATAAACAAACAACGGGGCCAAGATGATCCCTGTGGAACGCCACTTGTTACTGGATCCCCCACTCGGATTTAACCCCATTTTATGGTCACTCTTTGCTTATGTCTGTTGAGCCCTGATTCGATCCACGAGTGCCACCCTTCCCCACAATGCCTTGAGCTGCTACTTTCTTCAACCAGTCTTTGAGTGCGGAAATTCTTATAAATCAAATGCTTACTATAATATAAGTAATAATATCAAATTCTTTATCGTGGTCACAGCCTCAAAAGCTGTACTGAAGATAGTTTTAATAATTAGTTAGACAAAGACCGGCTCTTGTGTATCCATGCTGAGTATCATTAATCAGCTATGCTTATCGAGATGGGATTCTATAATCTCAGACTATAATTGGACTCTAGTAATTTGCCTACAATTGAGGTCAGGCTTATTGGGCGGTAATTTGACGGTAACGAATTGTCCCCTGTTTTAAAGATTAGGATTTACATTAGCACATCTTCCACATATCAGCACTGCACCTGTTTGAAGGTTAAAATTAAAAATATTAGTTAACTGGTTCACAGGACTTCCAATTTTGAATTCCTTTAGAACCCTTGATAATACCTCATCAGGACGGTGATTATTTTGCTTCAGTCTGCTATCTGCTTCAAACAATTTCAGCTGTGACTGTGATGTTACATAATTTATATTCTTCTTGATCCACTATAAATATATTAATTACCGGAATATTATTAGTGTCTTCCTGTGTAAAAACGAGAGAAAATAATTATTTAAAATCGAGAACATTTCATATTCTTTGTCAGTAAGATGCCCATAGTTATTTTTAAGGGGGGACCTCATTATTATCTATGGACTTTTGTTCTATAGACCTGGAAAACAACTTTTTGGGTTAGTTTAGAATCCCTAGCAACTTTAATTTAATTAGTCCCTTTTAGCTTTTCTTATCCCCTTTTTAATGTCCTCTTTATGTCATTATACTGATTCATAATGATGACCTCGCCTCTTTTGATAGCCTATAAATTCCTTTCATTTTGATAGTAGATTTTTCAGCCTATTATTGATCTTTTTTGGGGTCATTTCTATTTGATCTTAATTTCCTTATAAGGGATTAAACGTTCTTTGAGCAGAATGTATTGTGTTCAGAAATCTGTCATATTGATAGCTCTCTTCGTTACCCCAGGTAACAGTTGTTAAGTGGTATTAAGCACATCGTAATCTGCTTTAGCGAAAATCTGGGACTGTTACTGAGTTATCCCGTTCTATCATAACTTCCTTTCAACTTACTATGTAATTGATTTTGGGGTACGCTGGCACCCTGGTTCCTCTGAAACTTCTAAATTATTAAACATTGGGATTCATTGTTTGCCATGAACTAAGTCAAGCAGGTTATTACCCTTGTAGGTTCACTGTCAAAAACTGCTTCAAAAAACAATCCTGAACTACTTCTCTAAGAAATTAGTATTATGATTCTAACTCACATTCCAGATAAAGAAATTCCATTCAATATGACTAAAGTTAATGTCTCCTAGAATTACTACTTTATCGTGCCTTGTGGCCCTATCCCAATTTCCTCCCATAGTAGTCTCCCCCTGGTCCCTATCTAAATTTGGGGGACGGTATATCACACCTAAAATTAATTTTTCATGCCCCTCTGAAAATTAATCCAAACAGACTCTGTATGGGTTACTTCAGACTTAATACCTGTTTTTATGCAACAGTTCAAGTGATCTCGGACATACAATGCCACCCCACCCCCCTTCCCGATAAGCGATCTACTTGGAACAATTTAAAACCCTGAATGTGACATTCTGCAGGCATGTCCCGACTTTTTGAATTAAAGCACGTAATGTACACATCCAACCTATGTTAAAGTCTACCTGTGAATTCCACTCATCTACAACTCTATTACCAAACCTGTATCTTACAATATCTTTTTTATATCTAAATTTCTCCATCTTGAATCCATTGTTGAGAGTCCTGCCTTGCTTAGATACTTTCAACATGTTATTTATATCCCCCGTATTTATTGCTGCTTTCCATTTGTTCACTACTATCATATCTCCCATAGTTCTAGGCCTATCATATCTCCCATAGTTCTAGGCCTATCATATCTCCCATAGTTCTAGGCCTATCATATCTCCCATAGTTCTAGGCTTATCCAAAGAGTGAAACTTCACTGCCTTTAATATCTGTCTTGACTGCTTGAGAGGCAGAAATTTGTTTCTGTTCGTATTCTTAGTTCATGTCTATACAAAGTTTAGCACCAGTTGACGAGCTCTAATCGACTTTTTAAGGATTAATTAACGGCTACACAAATAAGGCAAGTTGCATATTAAAAAAAAAAAACTAGCAACCCAGATTACTTTTACCATATACGCGCGCCGGTGCTCCCAGTTACTACTACTGGTGAAAAAAAGACTTAACGGAACGCACTTTTATTGGGACAACGTTTCGATCTGCTTAGCTTGTTCTGTCAAGTCTATCGTGTCTTCACTACTGTCGACACCATCATGTGGTGCTCCTCCTACTGCTGGTAATCTAATGTGGGTTCACTCCTATATTAAAATATATACATTTAGCTATTTTTTAGTGCTTCAATATATGGCCCTCTTATGAAATTCTGTAACCTATATTTATTCTTCCACAGCATCTGAGACGTGTTTGGCCAAGGAAAGGTGTACCGTGGAGAGCACATTCTCTTCAGCAGCCCTTCATCCATGCTCGGAGACTACTTATCTCCATAATACATACACATTTGATAATCTGTCTTGATCAGCAAGCACACACACTCAAACGTCAAGTCACGGTGCAGTTACTTTAAAAACAACAAATTCCTCAGGAACATTTGGACCAAACCTCTAAACAACGCCTGAACAGCAAGCTTCCAAAAGTTGCAGCATATATTCACAGGGTAAAAGTCGCTCTCAACACTACGGAATAATCAAAAGAAGCCTCCGTGAATACCACAAGACATCACAGAACGAGGGATCACAAGTGTAAACAACAGTTACTCTCCCAACACCGCACAAATACCAACAACTGTCTCAGCAACAACTATAAAGGACGTAAAAGACAACTCAAAGCAAGAACTTTGCCAGAAAACCTCAGAATTAGCAACAGTAGTCTCTGTAAGAAGTAAGAGACCCACAGTACAGTACGTAGAAGCACAGGTCAACGCAGGAACCTGGCTAGAACACAGAATCAACAACAGTAACCTGTGTAACGAAGAGAAAAGGAGACCACAGTAGAGAAGACAATAACAAGCCTACGTAGTAACACTCCCAGAAGGATGCGGTTGCCGCGGTGGTGCACCAATGCTGTGAAGGCGTCACTGCTACTGGTGTTGATGGGAGTGCGAGTGTGCGTGGGCATGCGGAGCATGGTGAGGGGTAGCCAGGCTCGCGACGTAGCCCTGGGCAGCAACACTCTGAGGGGACTGCAGAGCACGTGGCACAAGGACACTCGGGAAGACGAGGTAAGGACGTTTCGGTCAACCTGGACAAATATCTATATATATAATGTATATATATATATATATATAATATATATATATAAATATATATATATATATATATATATATATATATATATATATATATATATATATATATATATATTATATATATGCAAAACAACCATTCTGAAAGAATAGAGAAATTCCAAGCGCTTTCGTGACTACTCACATTATCAGGAACTATGAAAGTAAAGCATCCAAGGAAGCTATATATAGCTATATATAGCTTCTTTCAGAGTGCTTGTTTTGCATATATATATATATATATATATATATATATATATATATATATATTATATATATATATATATATATTATATATATATATATATATATATATATATATATATATATGTCGTGCCGAATATGTAAAACTGGTCAATTAGCAAGAACTCATTTAAAATTAAGTCCTTTCTAAAATTTTCTCTTATACGTTTAAAGATATATTTTTTTCATTAATGTAAATGTAAAAATTTTTAATTTTGCTCCATTATTAACAAGAACAATTTATTTTACCCTAACCCAACTAAATATATTTTAGATTTGTTTACAGTAATTTAATACTAAACAAACGCAGTGAAATATATTTTTTTCGTTAGGTTCAGAATGATTTTGGCGAAATTATTGCATACACAAATTTTCACTTGTCCTATATGGCAAGATGAGCGTTGCTATTTAACCCAAGATCGCAAGTTCTGCCTATTCGGCACGACATATATATATATATATATATATATATATATATATATATATATATATATAATATATATATATATATATATATATATATATATATCATATATATATATACATATATATATATATATACATATATATATATATATATATATATATATATGATATATATATATATATATATATACATTATATCATTGTGTTTATTTATTATTAATTATTGCAAATCTATATAAAATATATTTAGTTGGATTAGGCTAAATTAAACTGCACAAAATTATATGCTAAATTATAAATTATATTCTACTAATGCAGCAATGTTAATGCTTGTGAGAGTCATTACTGGGTTGTACCTCTCTCTCCTGGGTTGTTTACCACACACTGCACGCTGAGAACAGCACTACCCCGTCATCAGCCAGTAGTCTCGCATGTACCTCAAGGTGGAGGAGGGGAGAGTTATGTTTATCCCACATGCTGGATGTTGAACAACATCCAGCATCAATCCTCATCAACACAAGCATGTGTTGTGGTGGCAAGTCAACAAGCAGGCCATTGCTGGTAGTATGATGCTCCTGGGGGAAGTGGAATGTCGGGACCCGGTGGGGAATGAGGAGAGCCTGCAGGAGTGATGCTCGCTGGGGAAGCAATGATGCAGTCTTGGAGCAGTGCTTGCTGGGGAAGCAATGATGCAGTCTTGGAGCAGTGCTTGCTGGGGAAGCAATGATGCAGTCTTGGAGCAGTGCTTGCTGGGGGAAGCAATGATGCAGTCTTGGAGCAGTGCTTGCTGGGGAAGCAATGATGCAGTCTTGGAGTAGTGCTTGCTGGGGAAGCAATGATGCAGTCTTGGAGCAGTGCTTGCTGGGGAAGCAATGATGCAGTCTTGGAGCAGTGCTTGCTGGGGAAGCAATGATGCAGTCTTGGAGCAGTGCTTGCTGGGGAAGCAATGATGCAGTCTTGGAGCAGTGCTTGCTGGGGAAGCAATGATGCAGTCTTGGAGTAGTGCTTGCTGGGGAAGCAATGATGCAGTCTTGGAGCAGTGCTTGCTGGGGAAGCAATGATGCAGTCTTGGAGTAGTGCTCGCTGGGGAAGCAATGATGCAGTCTTGGAGCAGTGCTTGCTGGGGAAGCAATGATGCAGTCTTGGAGCAGTGCTTGCTGGGGAAGCAATGATGCAGTCTTGGAGTAGTGCTTGCTGGGGAAGGAATGATGCAGTCTTGGAGTAGTGCTTGCTGGGGAAGCAATGATGCAGTCTTGGAGTAGTGCTTGCTGGGGAAGCAATGATGCAGTCTTGGAGTAGTGCTTGCTGGGGAAGCAATGACTGTAGTATTGGACTGGTGATCGTTGGGGAAGCAGTAAATGCAGTATCTCACTACGAGTGATGCTCAAGCAGATTTTCTGATGCTGATCATTCTGTTTATATATATTTGTTAACTGTATGTTTTCATAGGCTATTAACCTGAAGTATGAAGTAATTTACAGGCAATAGTATTTGTAAGTTACAGGGTGAGTCGCCTGTAACCCTCGCCCTGTAACTTACAAATACTATTGCCTGTAAATTACTTCATACTTCAGGTTAATAGCCTATGAAAACATACGGTTAACAAATATATATAAACAGAATGATCAGCATCAGAAAATCTGCTTGAGCATCACTCGTAGTGAGATACTGAATTTACATTAGGAATCGCTTGAGAAAATTAACTCGATGACATAGGAAAAAATTTTGTTGTAGGTGCTGTTAGTTTATTGTGCACCTGTGTCCATCCTGTGGACGGTAGTAGCTAGTTTATTGTGCACCTGTGTCCATCCTGTGGACGGTAGTGGCTAGTTTATTGTGCACCTGTGTCCATCCTGTGGACGGTAGTGGCTAGTTTATTGTGCACCTGTGTCCATCCTGTGGACGGTAGTGGCTAGTTTATTGTGCACCTGTGTCCATCCTGTGGACGGTAGTGGCTAGTTTATTGTGCACCTGTGTCCATCCTGTGGACGGTAGTGGCTAGTTTATTGTGCACCTGTGTCCATCCTGTGGACGGTAGTGGCTAGTTTATTGTGCACCTGTGTCCATCCTGTGGACGGTAGTGGCTAGTTTATTGTGCACCTGTGTCCATCCTGTGGACGGTAGTGGCTAGTTTATTGTGCACCTGTGTCCATCCTGTGGACGGTAGTGGCTAGTTTATTGTGCACCTGTGTCCATCCTGTGGACGGTAGTGGCTAGTTTATTGTGCACCTGTGTCCATCCTGTGGACGGTAGTGGCTAGTATATTGTGCACCTGTGTCTATCCTGTGGACGGTAGTGGCTAGTTTATTGTGCACCTGTGTCCATCCTGTGGACGGTAGTAGCTAGTTTATTGTGCACCTGTGTCTATCCTGTGGACGGTAGTAGCTAGTTTATTGTGCACCTGTGTCCATCCTGAGGACGGTAGTAGCTAGTTTATTGTGCACCTGTGTCCATCCTGTGGATGGTAGCGGCTAGTTTATTGTGCATCCTCTATCCATCTTGTGGACGGTAGTAGCAAGTTTATTGTGCACCCTCTATCCATCCTGTGGATAGTAGTAGCTAGTTTATTGTGCACCCTCTATCCATCCTGTGAATAGTAGTAGTTAGTTTATTGTGCACCCTCTATCCATCCTGTGGATAGTAGTAGTTAGTTTATTGTGCACCCTTTATCCATCCTGTGGATAGTAGTAGCTAGTTCATTGTGCACCCTTTATCCGTCCTGTGGATAGTAGTAGTTAGTTTATTGTGCACCCTCTATCCATCCTGTGGATAGTAGTAGTTAGTTTATTGTGCACCCTCTATCCATCCTGTGGATAGTAGTAGCTAGTTTATTGTGCACCCTCTATCCATCCTGTGGATAGTAGTAGTTAGTTTATTGTGCACCCTCTATCTATCCTGTGGATAGTAGTAGTTAGTTTATTGTGCACCCTCTATCTATCCTGTGGATAGTAGTAGTTAGTTTATTGTGCATCCTTTATCCATCCTGTGGATAGTAGTAGTTAGTTTATTGTGCACCCTCTATCTATCCTGTGGATGATAGCGCAAAATCATGTGTTAAAAAAAAAAAAAGCCTAGGAAATATGCCTACAAACTAAGTCTCAACTGTTGCAAGCAAATCTCGAGTATTTGCTTGATATGCTTGGTATCTTATTTTTATTAATAAGATCTTGAAATATCACATAATATTGGAGAATAAGGTAGACGGAGAGACACTGAGCGACGGGGCGGCGGCGGCGGCGGCGGCGGCGGCGGCGGCGGCGGTGGCGCCGGTGGCAGGGGAGGAGAATGAGGCAATCATAAGTCTCCGGGATTATACGTCCTTATTGACAGTAATGTTCTCATAAATATTCATGAGAAAGAGAATTTCAAGGTCGACTGTTTGTCTGGTCTTTATATATCTTATTAGTCTCTTAACCCAGTTTATTGTTGGGTCGTTATGCCAGCACATTGATGGAGACAACATTGATGGAGACAACATTGATGGAGACAACATTGATGGAGACAACATTGATGGAGACAACATTGATGGAGACAACATTGATGGAGACAACATTGATGGAGACAACATTGATGGAGACAACATTGATGGAGACAACATTGATGGAGACAACATTGATGGAAACAACATTGATGGAGACAACATTGATGGAAACAACATTGATGGAGACAACATTGATGGAGACAACATTGATGGAGACAACATTGATGGAGACAACATTGATGGAGACAACATTGATGGAGACAACATTGATGGAGACAACATTGATGGAGACAACATTGATGGAGACAACATTGATGGAGACAACATTGATGGAGACAACATTGATGGAGACAACATTGATGGAAACAACATTGATGGAGACAACATTGATGGAAACAACATTGATGGAGACAACATTGATGGAGACAACATTGATGGAGACAACATTGATGGAGACAACATTGATGGAGACAACATTGATGGAGACAACATTGATGGAAACAACATTGATGGAGACAACATTGATGGAGACAACATTGATGGAGACAACATTGATGGAGACAACATTGATGGAGACAACATTGATGGAAACAACATTGATGGAGACAACATTGATGGAGACAACATTGATGGAGACAACATTGATGGAGACAACATTGATGGAAGGCACATTGATGGAGACAACATTGATGGAGGACAACATTGATGGAGACAACATTGATGGAGACAACATTGATGGAGACAACATTGATGGAGACAACATTGATGGAGACAACATTGATGGAGA